TTAAAGGCCAGTATCCCTGGCATAACCTGGTCCGCATCATAGAACGGATAGGACAAAACGGCTGGCCAGATCTGTTTCTGCTGACCGGTGACCTGAGCCAGGATGAGTCTGAAGCCAGCTATCGCATGTTATTTGATCTGATGCAGTCGACTGGCACCAGCTGGTACTGGTTACCAGGCAATCACGATGACACCACTCTTATGGAACAGCTGCACCCGATTCATCAGAGTGTCACCCTGGGCCAGTGGCAGTGGTTATTACTGGACTCTCAATCCGGGTCTCCCCACGGAGAACTGAACACCAAACAACAACAGTGGCTACAACAACAGCTGGAAGAACCTCAGGCCAGCTGGCAGGCCATCGCCCTGCACCATCAACCACTACTGGTTGGATCTGACAGACAGGGTAAAACCCATCAGACCAGCATGGACGATGATGAAGGTATAGGCGGAATCGATAGTATTCCCCTGCGAGATCAAGGTTGGCTATGGCAAACCCTGAGTCAGTACCCACAGGTCAGAGGCGTTATCTGTGGCCATGTTCATCAGGCACACACGATTTGTCATCAGGGGCTGACACTCTATACCTCTCCGGCGACCAGTATCCAGTTTACTTCTGATATCAATGAGTTCCAGCTTGATAGCGAGTTAAACCCGGGATACCGACAACTCTATCTGACAGCAGATGGTCGAATTGAAAGCCATGTCTGTCGACTGTCATAATGGCCTCACTTATATCATAAAGTTATCAACAAATTATTTTAAATAATTTGACGTAATTAAGGATTCCGTTTTTACTACGCCCATCACAGGGTTATTGCGCCCGTAACAGACTGGTCACTGAAACCGTAAAATCCGGAGTATCTGTCCTCACCAGATGGCAAGTCAGGATTGAAACAGCGGAGCTGAAGTATTCAGCCTTTATACCAGCAGGAAACGAGTAACACTGCCGGATTAACCGGGTGTCCATAGCGTACACCTCAATGCAGAATCAGCGGCAGCATCACG